ACAAACAAACAAACAAACAAACAAACAAACAAACAAACAAACAACCAAACAAACAAACAACCAAACAAACAAACAAACAAACAAACAAACAAACAAACAAACAAACAAACAAACAAACAAACAAACAAACAAACAAACAAACAAACAAACAAACAAACAAACAAACAAACAAACAAACAAACAAACAAACAAACAAATAAACAAACAAACAAACAAACAAACAAACAAACAAACAAACAAACAAACAAACAAACAAATAAACAAACAAACAAACAAACAAACAAACAAACAAACAAACAAACAAACAAACAAACAAACAAACAAACAAACAAACAAACAAACAAACAAACAAACAAATGGAACCTACAAGACAACACGACAACAAAGTATTCAACTCCGTTGTAGATTATCGGTGGTTTTGCTGCAAAAGAACTTGCTGCCTACTCGAAAGCCGGGAGTGTAGCTGAACAAAGTATTTCTTCGATCAGAACTGTCGCTGCATTTGGTGGAGAGGCAGAACAAACTAAAAAGTAACGTATAATTTATGTTGTGTTGAAAGTATGTCAGATAAGTTTGATTGAAAATTCAGGTAACAATCGTATGTGATATCGGGGAATAACTAGCATTCAATATTATATTCAGGTTAATAGTGGTATAAGTGTAGCATCAGAGCCGTTACTAAGATAATTGTTTGACAACATTTTTTTTTTTGACAAAATTTTGACAGTCAGGGGTGAAAGCAGTGCACGACCAGCAGTACTTAAAGACTGTACAGTATATATAATTTCGTTTCGTTTTAGGTACGACATTCATTTGACTAAGTCTTGTAAATTTGGAATAAACAAAGGATTTGGAATCGGTATTGGAATGGGAATATTTCAAGTAACTACTCTTGGAAACTACGCTTTCTCTTTGTGGTAGGATATTTTTAGTCACCGTGGACCTGAATATTTTAAAGCAAATTATCCAAGTCAATGTTAGAAATGCGACTAGTCTCTTTTTCTTTCATCCACTATGGTCCAAATTGCATGCAAATTATAGTATATGCCCTAATTTATACCGTAGTAATCCAACTATAAATATTCGTCATTTTTACTAAATATTCCTTCGACTGGTGAAAAATATTTCTTGTATTTTTAGGTATGGTGTAAGGTTGATCAGAGATGGTGATGCAGAACCAGGCGATGTTGCTAGTGTATGTAATGTTATGTATGCTTGGTTATTTTCCTTCTATTTTCTGTCTGCTCCGTTGGACTAATCAGACATAATCCTTGCTGGACTTTTAAGAAGAACTGTTTTGAAATGACAGAGATATCCGGTATAAATAAAATTAGAATTTGATGTACAGTGGCGGTAAAAGATCAAGGATCTCTCTTTCTTTCCAGGTGTTTTACATGGTAATGTTGGGTTCAGTAATGGTAGGACAAGGAGCTCCCTGCATGGAAGCCTTGGCGGCTGCCCGAGGCGTCGGCTATACCATCTTCAATATCATCGAGAGAGTAAGAATCTTTTTATTTTGTTATAGCTTTGACTCGGGTGTAACTGAATTTAATTCGCATTTGACCACCAAGTTTGAGATATCTTTTTCAGGTAGCAGAACATGTGTCTTTTTCAGGTTAGCAGAACATGTGTGTTACACCAAACACGAGATTGCGTGGGAAAACTCTAAAGTAATTACCACAAACAATCGCTATAGTCAAAGACTTTGCCTAGAAGCGTGGCATATAAATATGAGTAATCATGCTTTGAATAGGGATGACGGTGCCTATTTGCCAGAGGAATACATGCATCTCATTGGCAGGTGACGTCATCCCTTGGGTATTTAAGAAGCCACGATTGTAACTTTAGATCACCCCTGATGAAGACACTAGACTGGAGTGTCGAAACGTTGGGTGTTGAGGTTGTAATCATTTATTTAAACCAGAGTAGCGAGCGAAATATGATTTTTCAGGTAGTTCAGATACAAACCATGTCAGTTTATTGTAGAATTACCTGCACTGGTAGTTCACACACCGAACCACTGCATCATATTGTAGAATACATTTCTCTGCCTTAGACCCTCCCAAGGGAATATATATATGCCCATTTATACTTGCAATTTCTCCTGCGATTTTAGGTGCGATTTTCTTCTTCTGATGGATGTGAACGAGTGAGATGGCTTATGAATGCTCTGAGTATGTATACGCTCATCTGAACATTCATAACTCATCCACTCGTTCACATCCATCACAAGACGAAAATTGCACCTTAAATCGCAGCAAAAAATTGCAAGTGTAAGCGAACCTTATCAATGCTTATAATTGACCATGCCCTAAAGATACCATTGTTTTAATATTTAGAACTCTGCAATCGACCCATCATCTGCTGTGGGCATGAAACCAGAGGTCATAGGTGATGTGGAGTTTCGAGATATTGATTTCGTCTATCCTTCAAGACCTACTGTGCAGGTAATACAGATGTTACGATTTTTCAAAGTTTGGTTTACGGCAAGTATAGGGTCTGAAATATGTTTAAAAAACTCATTAATAATTCAGGAAGAAAACACAAAGAAAAATCATAAGCGTGTCGTATCTTTTTCTGAGATAAAAAATCATGTTAATTTACATAAACTTTAGCTTTGATTTTCTCGGTTTAGACAAAGTTTATTTTAAAAATTACTTCGCCAATGAACTCATATAAGATGAGTCGTTTTTTAAGCCATTTCAAGCACTTGTAGTCGTGTTTTATCAGATATAAAACCTCGCGTTTTATATCTGATAAAACACCCCTACGCGTGCTTTAAATAGTACATATAATTTTCGCAATTTCCATCTACAAAAAGCTTTCAACATCATATTTCCTGATGACGGCTCTGATGTACTAATCTTCTTTACCAGATTTTAAAAGATTTCAGTCTGAAAGTTCCGCATGGTAAACGTGTTGCTCTTGTCGGAGAAAGTGGCTGTGGGAAAAGTACTGTCGTTAAACTTATCTCCAGATTTTATGATCCTCAAAAAGGCTCGGTAGGTCTAGACGCTCAGATTATATATGTTGAGGTTTTTAGCCTGACCTATCCGTCTACGTGCAAAGCCGTGATATTTGTAGCGCAAACTACGAATTTATGTGTATGATGCAGCTGCCTGAAAATGTATAAAGAAATTCACCCTGTGACTCCCAAACATCGTCTGTTTTCCCCGGTATTCTGATTTCTCCAGCAGTACTATACACTAACGCCTGTATTCCAAAAGCTTATACTCACACTTAAAGAGTGGAGATTCTATCTGAGCTTCCCTTGGGTGCCAATGCTGTATTTGAATAGCTGGAGAGTGAGTAGTCATGTAGTAAGGTATGACACTAACCCTCCAGCTATTCAAGAACAGCACTGACACTCAAGAGAAGCTCAGATTGAACCTCCACTCTTTGAGTGTGAGTGAGCTTTTAGAATACAGGCGTAGGTCAACTACAAGGAAGACTCACTTGTGAACCTGTAAAAAGAAGAGTTTAGAACTGGTGGAACAATCCAAGATAAATAAAATGAGTTTAGTTCATGTTTTCTCATGTAATGAGACCGTATCAAGAACTGAGCCTCCAGAAAAAAACGTTCAGAACTGATAGGGCTATTTGGTATTGGAATAATGTTAATTTAGTTTTAGTATACTTTTCGGGGTTTTTTTCAGGTTTTACTTGACGGCAAGAACATAAAAGATATAAATGTCAGTCACCTTCGAAGTCATATTGGTGTAGTGAATCAAGAACCAATTTTATTTTCAACAACAATTGCTGAAAACATCGCATACGGTCGAGAAGGAGTCACGCAACAAGAAATTGAGAAAGCCGCCAGGGCTGCAAATGCTCACAATTTTATCTCACAGTTTCCAAAGGTAACAATGGTAACAATGCAATTGGTTGATTTCAGTTAGGAAATTGCATTTTCAAGTCTTGTTTTTCCATGCACTAGGGTTATGAAACGCAATGTGGTGAACGAGGTACACAAATGAGCGGTGGTCAGAAACAAAGGATTGCCATAGCGCGAGCTTTAGTAAGAAATCCAAAGATATTATTGTTAGATGAAGCCACGTCTGCCTTGGACTTCGAGAGCGAAGCTATCGTACAAGAGGCTCTGGATAGAGTAAGTGGTATTTCAAGTGATAAATCTTGTAAGGAAAAGCCTTCAAGCATACTACTACATATAAGGACACAAACTAACATCATTTTCTCACTCAGATTACTGTAGGTTGGCTAGACGTTGTGCTATTAACTTTGTCATTGTATGTTTTACAATATGCGTTTAGGCAGGCGAAGGTCGTACAACAATTGTGATAGCACATCGTTTATCAACAATCAGAAATGCTGACATTATAGTGGTTGTGAAGGAAGGTCACATGGCGGAAACTGGAACTCATGAAGAGTTGATGGCGATACCGAATGGAATTTACAAAACTCTCGTCAGATTTCAGGTGTGACAAGAAAACTCAATGCATTGCAGACATGTCTGACGAGAATGTAGTGCTCTGAGCTAAACCGTACTGCATACAGGGCTTTCAAAATAACCCGGCGGCCGCGGGTGGCACGAAGTTTACCGCCGGTTACTGTGTTTAGTACTTGAATTGTCAATTCTGCTCTCCTTCCTCCACTCTGAGCTTTCAAACAAAGTTATTTTTCCTCAACTTGGTCCACTTTATATAGCCTGGCCATTTTCGAAAATGACGTACTATTTTGTAAAACTGATTTAGTTATTTGCCATCTTAAATCTTGAAGTTACTTTGTTGAAGAATGAAAGCAAGGGACTGGTCATGAAGTATATAGGTGGGGGTGAGCTATGGAAATTGAGAAGTCAATCATTTTCCAAATCTCAAATTGTAGAACGCCCCCTTCCAACAGCCGCCTACTTTATCAAAACAGACGCCTACTTTATCAAAACAGACGCCTACTCTGAATAATGCTGAAAGCCCTGTGCATAGCTGTACCAGTTCGAAACTGTTCTCGCGGTGGGAAACTGTTCTCGGGTCATCCTACTGAACTGTTTCCCTGGAGGTTATATAAGAGCCATCCCTTATTATTGGTTCATTGTTGCTGCAGGAGAAATCCGGGGATCTTATGGTAAACCTGTTATGTCTGGTAGAATCAAATAAGAAACATTCTTTTCACATGTGAAATTATAATGAGACAACTGCGTATTCAAGGAACCGAACCCCCGTCACAGAGATGAAGCTATATATATCCACTACTTAATTGACAAGACAGAAATGAGTGCAAGGACATCATTTTTTATTTGACTGTACAATTTTTGCTTATGAACAGAAAGCTGTAGATGACAAATTTTATGATGAAGGTGATGATGCAGAAGATGATGAAGAAGAAGCCAATGAACGTTTTCAGCTTGAGGAAGGTAACGTAATCAAGGTTTTTCTTTGACATTTGAAGGTCAACTGGCAGAAAGAATTTATTCAGTTGCAAAGGATAATAAATTGTCCACTGAGACTCCTGGGTTGCAGAATAATTGTAATTATACCACTTTTTGATTTGCTGTTTTAGTGGATGGTCTGTTTGAACTTGGATCATTTACATGCAGCAGCAGTGTTGATGGGTACACCAAGACAATTGTGGTAAGAAGGGTTGGGGAGAAGAGAGAGGATGAAAAGAAGCAAGGATTGGCAGGGGAGAAGAAAGTGAAAAAGAGTAGAAGGAAGGGGAGGGAGGGAAGAAAGGACGGAATGGAGGAAGTAAAGAGGAAGGGAAGGGAAGGGAGGGGGAAAGAAAGGGAGAGGGCAAGGAAGGGGGGAGGAAAGCAAAGGAAGAGGGAGTATAGGATGGGTAAGAGAGGAAGGAAACGAGAATGGAAGGAAAAACACAAGACAAATGGGAGGTAGAGAAAAGCAGGAAGGGGAGGGGCAAAAGAGGGAGAGAAAAGTGAGGAGGGAAGAGAAGAGGGAAGCAAGGAAGGGAGGGGAACATGGACAAACTGACGAATGAGGATAAATTGTGCGAGAAATGTATGAGAAAAAGAATATGGTTCAGAAGGACATAATTAATTACATCTATTTTCAGACAGAGGAAGGTGAGGCTGTAAAACCAATGTCGTTTTTCAAAATCTTGAAATATAACTCGCCCGAATTCTGGTACATTGTGATTGGCTGTCTTGGTAGTGCATTGTATGGATCGAATCCTTTTGTCTATGGCATTGCCATAGGAGGCATGTTTGAGGTTCGTTTATTTGACGTTTGTTACTTATGTATTTTCTTTGCTTTTCTTAAGTGGGTGTCTATTGTAGGTAGTATTCGACAATAAGCTGCCGTAGTTTGTGTTTGAACTATCTGAAAAGGATATTTCAAACGTGCAAGTCCAGTGTAGGCAATATTATACAATTGCTACCATGGTTTGGGTTTGAACTACCTGAAAAAGATATCTCTAACTCTACAATAAAACGCTGACGTGGTGTGGGTTTGAATTACCTGAAAAACACATCGAAGTTTGGATCCTTTGTGTTGAAAGTCGCCAATTGCCTCGAAATGGATCATTCCTTGTCTTATGCTACTTTCCTTTACAGGCATTTACCTATGATCCTAAAATTTCATCTGAACGAGAAAAAATGGAGGACATTTCAGTAAAATGGTCCATCGTTTTCTTCGCATTGGGAATAGGTAGTGGTGTCGGAATATTTCTCCAAGTGAGTTTTATAATTATAGAAGTTCTTTGGATATCATAATATATGTTTTGGTTCATGGGAAACACCACATATACTTATTATTGCAAAGCTTTCCAACTATTTGATAGTTCAAGACTCTTGCCAGTGCTATCCTAACTAGTTTTTATGGATAGTTCGTTTTGTCAATTGAGGATGACAATTGAGGATGAGAGTTGATGAGGGTTGCAATTCTTGTAGTTCGCGTTTGAACGCCAATTGTCATCGCAGACATCGGCTCTCATTATCTTTGGTTTGGTTCAAACTCTTATCAACTCTTGTTCTCATTAATCAGGGCTTGAGAGTAGAGAAAGCTCTCATGCAAACTCTCGCTTGCCAACTCTCATTAACTCTCCCGTATCTAGAATAACGTATCTATAATGTACACTTTATGCGATGTTTGTACTTTTTGAATCCTTTACCGGCTGATAGTTTCAGCAAATATAAAACTAATGTTATTCCGAAAAAATTATGCATTTCAACAACACCTCTATTTTAAAAACAATTTTTAAAATAGTTGTGTTGTTAAATTTGTACTTTTTGAGTTAACTAAATTTGTATATTCCTATAGAACTGGATGTTTGCCAAATCAGGAGAGGCTCTCACACAACGGTTACGAAAATGGTCATTCGTGGCTGTTCTCAGACAGGTACTGTTGTGTCAACAAATACCATGGCATTTTTAATATAACGTTTGGGCTGGTCGTGAAAATGTGGACCCCCTGAAACTGTAGACACACATCTCCTTAAAAACTGCTCATGTGATAAAGCTGATCTATCTGTGACTAATATTTAGTCAAAATTTTAAGAAGATTTCCTTACAAGATATTTTTTTGCTTCAGGAAATTTCCTACTTTGACAAACCGAAGAACAGCACAGGAGCTCTGTGTAGCAGGCTGTCCACAGACGTGTCCGCAGTTCAAGGGGTAGGTAGAGATGTTAGTCTTCTTAATTGTTTACACAGAGCCGTGGTTGCTATTATTACACTATTATTATAACCTCTATTATAAAGCAGACAACTCCGTTAAACAGACACATTTGTGAGGTCCCAAAGGTATTCGTTTAATAGGAGTTAAACTGTTGCTGAAATATTGTATATGAAAATATGTCCTTGTGCTTTTCTAGGCAACCGGTTCTCAGTTGGGCTTCATTTCATCCAGTTCTGTGTCCGTTATTGGAGGTCTGCTTGTTTGCTTCGTCACCAGCTGGAAATTAAGTTTAGTGATGACGTCATTTGCACCTCTTATGTTATTGTCTGGGGTGTTTTTCATGACTGCTTTGGGCGCTAGTACCCGAAGAAATCTGGAAGAAGACGCGGGCAAGGTAATCAGGGAATCTTGGAGCCCTTGACCTTGGAGTCGTAATTAGAATGTATCTATACTGGATAGGTCAATCAGCTGTTAGAGATCATCTCTCATTACTCCAGTGTTACTACTGTAAGAAACCTAGACTGTATTTCTACTGGATAGCTGTATCAGTTTTAAACTGAGGTCCAGTAAGGCCAGTTATCCCACATGTGAATGAGGTGAAATTATAATCAGACAAGTGTATATTGCAAGAATCCCGCACGTCGAGGTGAAGGGTGCATGCAGCAACCACTGTGACACCAATAGTGAGTATCAAGATGGCGTATCATAAATTCATAATCAAGATGGCGGATGTCAGATGGCTCTATTGGGGTCCGACTATTTGTCAAGTCACCTTTTGCCATCTTAATGATTTATTTTTTTGTTGTGTATCAGTCAGCTAATCAATTTTAAAAATTTATAAAATATTATAGTTTTTGTGAATATTCCAGTTAGTTGATTGAAGTATATATATTCTTCTACGGTTGCTTATCAAGTTAGCCCATTATGGCTATTTAAGCAACCGGTGTCATGCATGATGGATTTTTGTTGTTGAGTGTGATAAATATGCAGTAAATACTTGTAGACACAAATAAACGTTGTTGTTATTATTCGTTGCAACTTTGTACACTAGCAAAACAATGTTCTTTGTGTCCCTTACAGGTTGCAGAGGAGACATTATCCAATATTCAAACAGTCGCATCCTTAGGTCGAGAGGAAGAATTCTTTGAACGGTATCGTACAGCAATGGCCGAGCCTTACAGGTGAAATGTGGTCCAATAGCTTCTCGTTTTGCATTAATTTGCAAACCTCTCAGGAGATAAATAATCTACTAACGCATGTGTAGGTCCATTACCGCCCAATTCACTGACCCGCATGGCGCATATCAATTTTAAATGCTTTGTCATTCAATGCTTACAATATCGTAGCAGTGATAACTAGGCATGTTCGTTATCTGAAAATATGAATTGGGCGGCAACGGACATAATATACACGCTCACTAGGGATATAGTTAGTGACCACAAATCAGTCAATGACATTTAGTTTAAGCACCAGCTATATATCCTGCATGTGTTATGAAATTGTTGGTTTATTGTTCTATTCTTTGCTTACATTATCATAACAATGTCTAACTTTTATTTTATTTCCGTATAGAAAAGCAAAGAAAATTTGTCATTTTGCTGGTCTGGCAACTGGGTCCACTCTCTGTATTGTAAATCTGACTTTTGCTGCTTCGTTTCGTTATGGCGCCACGCTGGTAGTAGACTATGACATCACGCTGAAAGACATGATGACGTAAGTACTTGTGTTTCAAATATGTGGGGCGGGAGAAAAGAAGAAGGGAGGGAGGGAGGGAGGGAGGAAGGAAGGAAAGGATGAAAGGAGGAAGGGAGTGAGGAGAGGGAAGGAGGGAGGAAGCAATGGATGGAGGAAGGGAGGAAGAAAGGAAGGCGGAGGGAGGGAGAGAGGGAAGGAGGGGAGGGAGGGAGGAGGGAAGGAAGGAAGGCGGGGGGAGAGGGAGGGAGGGGGGAGGGATGAATGGGGGGAGGAAGGAGGGAGGAGAGGGAAGGAGGGAGGAAGAATGGACGAAGGGAGGGAGGAAGGGAGGTAGGGAGGAAGAAAGAAGAAATGACGGAGGGAGAGGGAGGACTGGTAGGAGCGAGGGATGGTTGGAAGGAAAGAAAGAATGACGAGGGAGTGAGTAGCGCCCTTGACTGCAACTGCATACCTTATTTTTGTATGCCTTGTATGAGTCGAGTTTTTCCTACGACTTCTCCCCGTTAATTAATTCTGACAATATGATGTAGCTTTTTCTAACATTCAAATTTTATGATATAGTACGGTGTTTACGTATCTCTCAGTCGGCGTGGTTGCTGGTCAAACCAGTTCCATGACGCCTGATTATTCCAAAGCAAAAATCGCCGCACAGAAAGTATTTACATTTATTGATTCTGTTCCGTCCATCGACAACCAATCAGAAGAAGGTTTGAAACCTGTAAGTACAATGTTAGTTACATTCTGAGGACGAGAGACCCATAATATTTATTCTTTATGAGATATTTTGATTTTTGCAGGAGAAATGTAAAGGTGAAATCAAGTTAAATGAAGTCGGTTTCAGATACCCAAGTCGACGTAAAATCAAAGTATTACGTAATCTGAATATCACCGTGAAGCCAGGTCAGACTGTAGCATTGGTTGGTACTAGTGGTTGTGGCAAGAGTACTACCATCTCATTGGTCGAACGGTTCTATGACGTAAGCTCCGGAAGTGTGGTAAGATCATTGAATTGTTTTGATGCAAGGATCAAGAATTTAATTGGGATTGATTGAACATTATCATGCAGCAGCTATCAAAGTTTGATGCAATAGTCGAAGTAAATGAATAGAACTGAGAAATGTACCGATAGTTTTATTTGCTGTATATAAGTCTTGACAGTTTTAAAGGTGGCCACCATCTGCTGTCTTTTAACGCTTAGTGAAACCCACAAAGCGTTTGTAAGTTATGATGCTTCAAATATTTTTAGACAATGGATGCTCATAATGTAAAAGATTTGAACATCAAATGGTTACGTCACCAAATTGGTATAGTATCTCAGGAACCAGTGTTATTTGACATGACGATCAGAGAAAATATTGCTTACGGTGATACTACAAGAGAAATCAGTGATAAGGAAATTGAACAGGCTGCAAGGTCAGCCAATATCCATCAGTTTATTGGGAGCTTACCAAAGGTGAGAGTTTTTTTATGGTAAGAGAGAGAAAAGAGGAGGAAGGAAGGGAGTGAAGGGGGAGGTGGGGGAAATAAGGAGGGAGGAGGAAGAGAAAAACAGAAGGAGATAAGAAAGAAAAGCAGGGAGGGAGGGGGAAGGAGGAAGGGATGAGGTAAGGAATGGAAGAATGGAGTGAAGCGAGGAGAGGAAGGAATGAATGAAGGTGGAGGTGACAATGGGACGAGAGATGGTGGAAAGGACAAAATCGGATAAATATGGGAAGAAAGGAGGGAAACATGGAAGGAAGGAAAGAAAGGAGGGAAAGACGCGACATTCATTATAAACTAATCTACATCTGGTGAATTATTCCAGGGTTATGACACAATGGTGGGTGACAAAGGTACTCTTATATCAGGAGGTCAAAAACAAAGAATCGCCATTGCACGAGCATTGATTCGTGATCCTAAAATACTTTTACTGGATGAAGCAACTTCAGCCTTGGATACGGAGAGTGAAAAGGTGAAATGCTACTTCTTTAGAAATATATTAAAAATTCATATATTACTTGTTGAAACATTTATCCAAGACATGTTTACTGGATTGTTTACTAATCTATACACTGAGTGAGACAGTGCAGTACATGGTGATGAAAGATGGTTATTTGAATAACTAAAGTGTTCACTCTTTGTGTATGGTGGCAACAATAAACTGCCCACTCCAATAAGTGTCCATACATTTGAGGTTAGCGCCATATATATGACACCATATTGCTAACTAAAACCCACCCACACTGTCTTTTTTCAGGTAGTGCAGCAAGCTTTGGACAATGCAAGTGTTGGTCGAACAACATTGGTAATAGCACATCGTCTGTCAACCATTCAACATGCGGACTGTATTGTTGTAATCAGACGAGGCCGTGCTGTAGAACGTGGAACTCATGAACAACTTTTAGCTATGAAACGAATTTATCATGCTTTACATAAAGTACAATCCATGTCTCAGAGGTAGGTCTTTCATGCAGGAAGACTACAAGAACATGTTGGTCGTATGGTATGCCACGTATCATAAACAAGAAGGCTTTTATTAGACAACGTACAGAGGGGCATATTTTGCCTAACAAGTTCCCACAGAAAAATTCTCTTGAACAAAGTTTTCTGTGACGAGTTTTCCTTTGCACGTTGTCCTTAAGCCCTGTGAAATGATTATCGAGGGTTTGCTGCAGTACTTCATGTAATGTTTGTAGTTATTTGCACTTCGTTAGGGTCAGATAAAAAATCATATATGGAAATTTATATGGAAATGTTTAATTAAAAAAGAAAAAATGAAAATACGTAAGCATTTAAATTCATAGATTGCATGTCTTCTGTTCACAGAGCATGCTATATGTAAGGTATCTTCAATTTTTTATACAATGGTTGTAAATTAAAGTCGGGAGTCTTACATATTTTCATCTTGATAGCGATTGTAGGGGTTTGGGAGCATGCTTCCCCGGGGAAAATTTGAATTTCTAAGTATTTTGAGGCATCTCTTACCAAATCTAAATGAGTAAATGGATTTTGCTTATTATTGGGAAAGGGCATTTTCAATCCTGGAAAAGAGCACACTCCTATTCCAGAAGAGGAGCACTTTTTCACTTTGAAAAAAGCGTGGGTGCTTGCCCCCCGGTCCCACGGCCCTGCCGATATTGTTGAATATTAATATATACTGACATATTTCTGTTAAAGGTCTTAATAAAGACGGAAATATTTAACACAATTTGTTTAATACGGTGTATTAAATCACGATTAAACCTCTAATAACTATTTCGCTTCGTCATCTTGCAAATACTTTGACCCTACCTTAATCTCTAGAAAATCAAACTAGTTCTCAACATTGAATACATTTTGCAAGGTCCTGTCGTTGTACTGTATTTTGCTCCTGCATGGTAATTAAAAATTCAATTCAATTGTGTTTTCCCACTCTTGTGTTCAACGAGCATTCAAATTATAACAATAAGATTAATTTCTAAAGGTCTTCTTTTTTATAAACCCTGTAGCAGAGTGTCCCAAAAAAAAACCCTGCAAACTATTGAAAAAACGTATTGTTAGAATTTGAATGCCTTAGCACTAAGGCCCGTTTCATACGCCGTACTTCACATGTACCTTAAAAACAATAGATAATGAGGCATTTCAGCTCATTACCTATTGTCTTTAATGTATTCGGCACATGTGAAGTACGGCGTATGAAACGGGCCTAAGTTGAACTACAGGGTGTCTCAAAAAAAACCAAAATCA